TTGGGCTTTAGGTACTGGACTTGGCAGTGACTGAAGTCAACCTTAGGCAGAGATACCATTTCTGGGGCTTTGGAGGGGCCGTTGCAGTAGAGCTTGAAGTCTCACCAAAGGTTGTGCCTTGAAGCTGATTCACTCATTTAGACAACAGCAGCATTGAGGTCATTGAGACTGCAGCCTCTCCCCAGGTAAGTGGACCCCTAGGGTGCTGGGCTGGACTGAAGAAATGGCAGGAGGCGGGGCCTTTTCCTTGGGTGTGAGTGACAGGAATGATGCCTGGACACTCATCAGAGGACTTGCCCCCCACCCACCACGGCACCCAGTACTGGATGCGACACTGCAGATGCGGTTTCATTCCAGATCCCAGCCTGCGGCTGCTCAGGCATCTGAAACCAGACGGCCTGTGCTGTCGGCCCCAGCATGCTGTGATGAATACTGAGCTGCCTGTTGAGCATCTCCCCAGGGATGAAGGAAAGCATGGAGGTTTCTTAATGCCCAGCACAACTCTTTCATTGAACGCTATTAGATTTCATCCTGTTAGATTGTCAGGAGCTTTTGGGATTCTGATTTATTCATCTAATACACTTATTTCTCCTTATCCACAAATTTGGTAAGTTCTCTAGGTCTTCATCCCATTATGAGTGAAGGTGTTGGCTGCATTGCAGATGCAATTCTTTCCAAGGTACACCCCGTCCTTAGTTATAGCTGAACAGGTATAAACATTCTCCTAACCACTCTTACCCAGACTCTCATTTATTCAGAAGTCTTTGTCAAATATGTATGTTGCCCGCATTTCCCTCATCAGCTAGTCTAACAATTAAGAGAAGGAAATGAGCTGCATCTGTACACTTATTCTTGGTAAACCCAATCTGGGGCCTGATGCTTGATTTAGCAAGCGAATTCCTGGTTGCAAGGGAACCAGATTATCAAAGATGAGGCTGTGCCTTTCAGAAGAAGCGGAATTCTGAAAAAGGGTCTGAAAGAGGGCAAGACCTGCCTTGGAGGAGGGCAACCTTACAACAGAGAGCAAACCAATAGCAAAGGCTGCAGAGCTGGGGAGGAAGGCGTGTTGTCCCAGTCAGAGATCTGTCCGATTAGGAACATGGGAGGACACAGGGATTTGAGAAACTACCAGAAAGGTCACATGAATGTTTATTACAACGTAGAAAAGAGGGAAAGGAAGAAAAAGGTTTCCAAAGCCATATTTCCAAGGATTAAAAAAAACACAAACTTGGAATGCCAAAGAGATGCCATGCTTTTTATATTTATAATAGGAAGGTGTGTGTATGTATAAATATGTACATGGAGATATGTACACGGGTTTTTGATTGTCATATATGGTATTTTTCATTTCATGTACAGTAATGCTGCTTGAATGAAGGGTTTTAAAGCTGGCAGAAGGCTGGAGAAACTGGAACTCTGCTCGGCCACTAGAGGGCGCAGTGGAGACCCCTGAGCAGCTCCCAGGGAAGGTCTTCGGGGCTGGGTCCCGGCTGTCGGGGAAAGCTAAGCTGTGGACCGGCCTGGGCCTAGGCTGTAGGATTCTGGCCAGGGCAAGTCTGGAAGCGTCCCTAGGTCCCTGACATTAGATATTTTGTCCCTAGGTCCCCGACATTAGACATTTTCTTCCAAGAAGGGTTCCAGTCATTGGAATAGCCTGGAAATACCCTCTCGGCTGGACTGTGGTGGGGTGGGCTCCCAGCAGGTCTGGGTAGAAGTGAGACAAGAAATACCCAGGAGCTTCTCTAAGAGCAATGAGGCCGGGTGTGGTGGCTCTCGCCTGTAATCCCAGCACTTTGGAAGGCTGAGGGGGTGGATCACCTGAGGTCGGGAGTTTGAGACCAGCCTGACCAATATGGCGAAACCCTGTCTCTACTAAAAACACAAAATTAGCTGGGCGTGGTGGTGCATGCCTGCAATCCCAGCTACTCGAGAGGCTGAGGCAAGAGAATCGCTTGAACCCGGGAGGTGGAGATTGCAGTGAGCTGAGATTGCACCATTGCACTCCAGCCTGGGTGACAGAGTGAAACGCCATCTCAAAAAAAAAAAAAAGAACAGTGGAAATGCACAGCAATTAATTTAACAGAAAGAAGAGAGACCCAAACAAGCCAGTCATGGAGTCAAAACACTGCAAATCACAACACAATACTCGTTAGTATGTAAATTCAGTTGATACAGAACCAGTTGCTTTTATATATGTATTTATGTTGTTTTTTATAAAACTGGCACCACACCCAACAGCAGGGAACTCAACCAATGAAAAGGGCTGGCCACAGGTTCTCATGGGTGCTCAGGCCTTCCAGGGTGACAGTACCCATGAGGAGCCTGCTACAGCCATCATCACCTTGTCCCCTGCTTGAAACATCCAATCAAGTGCTAACCCAGAAAACGGTGAATGAGGACCTCCCTCCCTATTCTTTCCTCCCTGGTTCCGGTGCTGGGGTAGAAGGGTGGGCACACTGCCCCCTCTCCTCTGGGCAGGCCCACCTTCCCCTTCCCACAGGACGCCAAGCTGGGGCTGTGGAGAATGGGCACAGCCGGGTTTGGTGCTGAGCCCACGCACCCTAGGAGTACATGGAAGAGATCCACAGGGCAGGGGCCCTGGAGACAGAGGAAACAGGTGCATGTGGGTGGGGCAAGGGTGGGCTGTGGTGAGGGCAAAAGGTACTCGCAGCCAGCCAGTGCCCATCCCGGAAGAGGGGGTGTGGGCTCCTTTGGAGAAAAGTCCCAACCCTGAGGCTCCAGGCAGACCGGGGCCTGCTTTCCCAGCAGCTGAAGGGGCTGTGGGCTGTGAGTGTGTCTCTGTCCACGTGGCGGGGGGGACTGTGGCATCCACACCTGCCTGGATGGTTGGCATTTTGGCAAATTCAGGCAGGGAGGGAGAGAGGTTAGGGGCCAAAGTTCTCCAGCTAAATGCAAATCCAGATGGCTTGCACTGGAAACCCAGGACACACAAGGGTGGGCTACAGATACCTTTCTGCCCCCGGCAGCAGCATCAGGAAGGGAGAGGGGAATTGGGGCCGGTGTTTCTGTTCTGCTAGAAAGAATCTTGGCTCCAGGATTGCCAGCAGCAAGGAGGTGAGGCCTGGGCAGGAGAAGGCAGCCCTTGCCCAGATGGTGCTGGCCCTGCAAGCCCTGGGCAGATGTGGGGAAGCGATGGCTGCCTAAGCCTGCCTTTGCTCCCAACCTAGAGATACTTAAACTGAAGTGGCAGCAGTCGGAGAGATGCCGGTGGTCATCACAGCACTTGGGCCAGAACTCACTCCGAGGCCACAGGGAGACATTTGGGGTCCCTCTGGTTGGGATTCTTCCTATCTCTGCCTGGCCTGTAATTTAGGGTGGGTGCATGACTGAGCCTGACCACTTCCATGCCTCTGTGATCCTGTGAATATCCAGCTCTAAGAATCTTGCGGGAAGAAAACTGATGAAAAACACAGGCCCCTGAGCCTCGCACCCTCCTGCTCAGGCTGAGCTTTTTTGTGATTATTTTAAAGTTCCAAGCCGGTCAGAAGGACCAGTCACCTCCCCTGACCAGGCTAGCACCTCATCCCCAAACCCAGTGCCCCGAGCTCTATGGAGGGAGAGAGGCCAGCCCCATCCTTGAATAGTGCACCCCACGCCTGCCTCTGCTCACCCTGCAGCTTCACCTGTGGAGGCTGGGACGGCAGGAGTGTGGAGGTGAGAGCATCCGTTTCTAAGCACAGGACCGCTGGGCCCACTTTAGCTCTCCCTGAGTGCTGACTGCGTGAATGAATGCAAAATAGGGAGCTGTCCCCTGGCGAGGACTGCCCGAGGCCACTACCTAGCTGCTCAGTGAGCCCTCCAGAGAGGAAGCGCTGTCTTCTCAGCCCACCTCCAGTCCCTCTGATAAAAGTCCTCCAACAAATCCAGAAAGAGGGAGGAATAATCACAGTTCTCTGCCTTCAGCCACTAACTGGAGAACTTCCATTTAAATGACACACCCCCAAGCATTTATGCAATGCTCCTGCTTTCTTTGCCTACATCACTTTCACCATAGGAAACAGCCAATGTCATTAAAGCCTAAAGTGGGCCCGGGAGCCTGGATGGGACCCTGAGGGGCCCAGCGCTCCACCCTCTGAGAGTGGCTGGGCCCTGGCAAAACCGAAAACAATTCTCAGAATCGCAGGCGTCTGGGCAGGGAAGGGGTTAGCTAAAGAACATACTTCAGGGTTTTTGCCTTTGGGGTGTTTTGTGTTTTAATGAGCCACCTGGTGCAGAAGGACCAGGGGCCTCTCAGCTTCCCTTCCCGCTCGAGAGCCTTGGGCCTTCGGAAGGCCTTTGCCCCGGTCCTGGGGTTTCAGCCCCGCTTTGCACTGCCCTCCACTTGGTGTTGGGGTCTGTGCCTGACTTTTCTTTTTGAGAGTCGGGACCCTTTGCCCTCCAGGAGAAAAGCTGATCATGTGGCTTTTGTTCTTTCTGCAGTTCCTTTCTGTTGCATCCTCCTTACTGCTGTCAGCATGGCTGGGGCCCCTGGGCTGGGAGAGCAGGTGACTTGGTCCTGCGCATCAGGATGAGGAAGCACCAATCCCAGCTCTCTCTCTTCTCATCCCAGCTCTCTCTCTCCTCATCCCAGCTCTCTCTCTGCCACCATCCCCTGATACCCTCAGGAAGGGGTACTCTTTTGGGCCTGCCTAAAGGAGGGAGCATGGCAGGTGGGAACCCAGAGCCTTGTGGGGCAGGGTGGAGGCGCCCATGTCCTTCCCAGGAGGCTTTGCCAGACACCCCCTGAGTGATGACAGGTCTCAGGAGGGGGCTACCCCCACACATGGGAGGGAGAAGCTTATTTTCCGGGCTTGGGCTGGGGGTGACTGCTGAGGGGTTGGAGAAGAGATGGCAATTGATGTCACATGTTTAGTGACACAATCCAGATGCAGGTGGGATTGTGTCACTAAACATGTGACATAATCACCCTCTTACTCCTAAGGGGTGAGGACCCCTCCCCAGGGCGTGCCCCGGGATGCCTGAATTCCCCTTTTTCTGGAGGTGCTGTAATGAGTGCGTAGATGGCACAGGCTGTGGGGGTGACCCAACCTGGCCACGTGCCCGTCCTGCCACTTAAGAGTAGAGTGTTTACGGGCACATGACTTACTCTCTCTCTGAGCTGCAGGTCTGACATCTGAAACTCACAAAGGTATCTCCCCTCCCAGGAGCTAAAAAGCCCTGGGGCTGGATGTGTGGGACTGGGGCAGCTGAGGGTGGGGACCATGCTGCCTGCCTCCTCCTTACTTTGGGAAGGCCAGTAGTGTGGCAGATTGGGGAGTGCCCCAGTAGCAGAGCTTCTGCCCTGCAGCCCCGATACTAGGCTAGGCAGGCAGGCGGGGGGCCACAGCCAGGAGCCATCAGACTCCTGCTGCTCCCATGGGGCCCTAGCCCTCCCCGCCTGAGGTCCTGACTTCTTAAACTGACTCGGAGCTCAACATCCAAATCGACAGTCTCCACCGTCCGCGGGACATGCCCAGGCCACCCACGGCTCACTCTGGCCCAAGGGAATGGCCACCCTGATCCCAGTGTCACAGTTGGGTCCTGGGAGCATCTCATTGCCTCTGACGTTCTCTGCACACCTGGGATTCCTGCCCAAAATACACACAGCCAGGGTGCATCCTACTGAATTCCAGTGGCGAACCTGCCCTGCAACCTCTGAGCCAACAGCCTTGTCTGCACTACCAAGGCAAAGCCCAGCTTCGTCACCAAAGGGTTGGGCGTCAGCCAAGCACTTGCCAGCACGAGAACCCCAATTTTCAGCCGGCTGCTGTTTGAGACGTTAACTCTGGCCCTGGTCTGAGGAGCCAGCTGGAACTACTTGGAGTAAATCAGCCACCGTCCCTTATCTACTGAAGATGATTGTGCTGAGACCGTGGTCTAATTTAGAGGGGCGGGGGGATATTTTGAACTTGTGCCACCCACGTGGCAACCCTCACAGCCTCATTCAGGAGACAGGCAGGGGCCTCTTGGCTTCTCCCACACACCAGTTACCCGGAAAAGGGCCTCCTCCTGAGGCTGATGTGTTCCCAGGTTTAGAGACGCAGCCCTCAGGGGAGAGGAGGATCTGGGGGTGCAGTGGCCCTCCATGCACACAAACACACAAACCCCTCTATTAAGCCATCCCACACAGGACTCAGGGTGACACCTGCCACTCAAGAAAGTCCCACCTGCATCTGGATTGTGTCACTAAACATGCAATATAAATTGCTATCTCTGCTCCACCCCCTCAGCAGCCACCCCCAGCCCAAGCCGGGAAACTAAGCTTCTCCCTCCTATGTGTGGGGGCGGCCCCCCCAGGACCTGTCATCACTCAGGGGGAGTCGGGCAAACTGTGGGGGCTATGTGGGGTGAAGGGCTGTGGGCTGGCAGGCATGGGAGGGGGCGGCTTCCTGCAGCTGAAGCTATTTTATCTGAGTAGAGGGGCGGCTCCGCTCTCATGCAGCTTCCTCGAGAGCAGCGAGCAGCCAGCCTGGAGGATGCCCGCTGCACACAGCAGAAGGTTCTAGCTTTTTAGAGAAAACCAAATCTGATCCCATACGTTGAAGACACAGACTTTCAGACAGGAAAGAAGAAGGCAAAAGGCCTGGATTGGGGTTGGTAAGAAGAAAGGACAGGATGCGACAGACACTGTCAGGTGTTCCAACATGGCAGCCCAGCCCCAGGCAGCGATGGAAGAGGGAGAGTAGCTAAGGGATCCATGTTAAGGGGTGGGCCGCAGGGCAGGACAGGCCGGGAGTCAAGTCGGGGCAGGGTGAGTGAGTAGCTGCAGGGGCTTCTGTTTCTCTAGGGATATCGGGAGCTGTCCAGTCTGCAGGGTGCTCCAGCCCTGCTGCTCAGGCAGGACTGTGATTAGAAAGCCAGTGGATGGGGTAGGTGGGCTGGGACCCCCAGCACGGTGGCCACTACTTCCCAAGCACTTTCATTCAGCAAAATCCCTTCTCCTGCCTTCATGGAGTTCTGACGGAGTCTCTGATAGACAAACAAGCCCTTCAAAGACGGTCATGCCCAATGGCCCTACGTCAAGTGGAGTCAGAAGCTAGACTTCGGGCCAGTTCCACTTGTTAGTGTTTCCTGTGTTAGAATGAAAATGGAATGAAACAGATGTGTAAATGTCCATCCTCTTAGTATAATTTTGGGTTCTCCTTTCTCTTAACTTCAGATTGATACTTGATCCATAGTAGCCTGGACAACTTCTGCTCGACTCTCCCCACCCCGAGGCCCCCATTAGGCATCTAGCCTTATTTCAATCACTTCCAGAGGGGCTTCTTAAAGAGGCCCAGGGTCCCTCGGCACCTGAAGGAGTCCCAGTATAATATCGACAATGTCACCCTCTAACGCATCCGTCCGCAAGTAGGATTTTCAGATCCAGGTCTACAACCCCATACCATTATTTCTGCAATTCTGAAACCCCAAAAGCTCTCAAATGGTAAGTTTTCCCTAAGTTACTTAGCGGTAAAATTAGACTGAAGTGAGCTGAGGCTATTTACAGTTTGTATGGATCCCAATTGATGGGACTAGTCACGTTTCTCTGCAGAAATGGTCACGTGCCTGATAGTAGGCGGGATGACCCACACTCTGCTGGAAGGTTAGAAAGTGTTTCAATAAACGGATCACATTGCCTTTCTCAAATCTGAAATTTCTCAACTCAGAGACACATCTGGCCCCAATGACTTCAGAAAAAGGAGTGTGGGCCAGAAATGCGGTTAAGTATAGGGTAAAAGCCTGCTAGTTTGCCCATTCCCACTTCAGTCTAATAATTTTGTGTATAAACGTCTGGTAATTCTGGCAGTTTCACCGCAGGGAAGGATCCACTCCTCTCCTTCCCAAGAAAACACAGGTCACAACACACCTAGCCCTTCGATTTCAGTGGCAAGGAGGCGAGGGGTGCAGTCAGGGAGGCCGCCCAGGAGACACCTGTGAGACTGGTCTTCTCCCGGAGGCCTCAGGCCAGCTGTGGGCATAGTGGGCCTTCCCACACTGGGGTGGAGCCTGGCCATCCTCACCCCCACCCTGGTGCTGCCCTCAGGAGGCCACACAGTAAATACTTGAGGTGCTAGATTTTGAGGTGGGTGGGGTCCCAGAGGACGGGTCTACCACAGTCCTGAACCCTTTGTGAGACAGGGCCCGGTGTGGCCCGGCCCAGCAGCTGTGGCATGCCCTTGCAGTGGACAGTGGGCACGGCAAGGCGGGTTGGAGCCTGCTGGAGCATCCAGCTTCCCTGTGGGCGTTCTCATCTCCACCCCACTCTCTGGTGCTCTGGTGCCTGCGCCCACAGTGCTTTCTGGAGCAGGAGGGACTGGCAGCCCTCACAACCTGCTGAGAAAAGCAGATGCGTTTTCAAGATAAATAATATTTTTAAAAATACCCCCTTTCCACCCCCAGTCCAGAAAATGGCAGAAGAGAACACGTAATGGTCCGTGTGCCCAAAGCTGCTTGATGCAGCCCTCACTGGGCCCCCTGGATCTCCCCAGCAGTTCCCGCGGGCTCACAGCTGCTGTGGGATGCCCTGCTCCTTGTAGCCTGTGGAGAAGAAGCAAAGAAGAGATGGTTAGACACCTGCTTTTTTCAGGATTTCTCCAGGAGGTGCCACTAACCCAGAATACGTGCAGGAGACCTTGTTTATACTAAAGTGTAAATGACTGCTACCATCAGAGCACAACTTTTCCCAAGGGCTTTGGCTTTTTAATGGGAAACAAAAGAATGAATCAGGAAGTGTGGAGTGCCGGGTTTACTGGGAATGTATGACAGGTGGGCATTTGGGGTGGGGGCTAAAAGGCTATTGATGTGCTCCTGAACCCACACCTGGAAGCCACTCACAGGCTGGCTTGGTGTCATTTCCTAGTGCAGAGCCTTGGGAGCAGGTGCCAGGCAGGCTTCCCCGAGGGTTGGGCATCTGGTATGGGTGGATAGAGAGGAGGAAGAAAGGAGGAAGATGGCATACAGAGGGGAGCAGACATCCCTGCGTGTGTCCAGCCTGCTGGACGCTTATGGCAGGAAAAGGCGCCTGAAGCCTGAACCTTTAAAATGTTGATCATCATGAGTCCTTTGGGAAAAAGTAAGGAATTGTCACTGCTTTATTTGGGTGTGAAAGGGTACTGTGTTTTTTTTTTTTTAAGAAGATACCCTTTGGGTGGCTGAGGCCTGTGGATCACCATGTCAGCAGAGTGAGACCATCCTGGCTAACACAGTGAAACCCTGTCTCTACTAAAAATACAAAAAAATTAGTGCCTGTAGTCCCAGCTACTTGGGAGGCTGAGGCAGGAGAATCAATTGAACTCGGGAGGTGGAGGCTGCAGTGAGCCAAGATCACACCACTGCACTTCAGCATGAATGATAG